TTCCATCTGAGTTCTTTTTAAAATCGTCAGGCTGTGTTGTAGTAGACCTACGCATTTCGTATATTTTATCTGGGTCAGGCCTCCCAGAAGAGCGAAGTTAGTTGGTCGTATATTTAGTTGTTTACGTCGAGTTTGCAATCAGTGTCTGCAGGATGTCACATTGTCTGTCTTCCTACAAGTAAAAGAGCTAATGTAGATCCTCCAGGAATATATTGTGTTCTAGACTGAAGTCAGTAAACATGAGGTTTATGTGTAGATACAACCCAAGTCAAGACGATTTTCAGATTTCCCAGGTGTAAACTGTGTAGTCGATTTCTGCAACATGCATCGGAGCATCTTTATTCTTGAAGTAACATTGTTACATTCTCAACTATTTCTGTACTGTTATTTATTCATGGAGAACTTCTTTCATTGCATTCCCATAGCAACGTATAATTTCTAACGTTAAATTGTGAGTTAGCTGTAACTGTTAGGAGACAGGACACACTGTACGTCTTAAACAATAAATATATCTAAACGTATAGGACTACATGTCTACCTTTGTTTTTATCTTTATTCTATTGTTCATTTATATTATGTTATTTTCGCCAATATCATCTACATCATTTTCATTATCGTTACTATTGTGTTTCCTTTATCTTTACCACTACTTCTGTTATTATTGTTATCACTATCATTTTATCTTTTTCATTATTGTTGTCTTAATCTCCCTTTATATGTGAGTTAGCTTTGTAGTTTAGGATATATAAGGTTTATTTAAGGTACTTAACTTATATTACTTTGGCTTAGGTGACGCCAGTTTACGCCACGTTGGGTGAGGTGATATCAGATTAGAATAACTTGGATTACGTGAAGTGAGGTTAACATCTTTAACGTTGTCTCTATCAATATTTTACGGTTATCCAATCTTTAACATTATCATTATATTTATCTTCATGCGCAGGGAAATATTTTAATTTGTTGGGTCAGGTTGGGTTTTTTAGATTAGATTAAGTTACATTAGATTATGGAAGGTTAGGTTATGTCAGCTTAGGTTGCGTTAGGAAGGTTTTGTGAGGTGGGGTTATATTAAATTACGATTTATTACGACTCTTTGGCTATTATTGTTAGGTTTGTAAAATCAAGCGAGTTACGAATGGGAGAAGACAAGAAATTAACGTAGTATTTTATGCAAAATCTCTTTAAAAGCTGACATTTTCAATACTGAGAAACAGGATAACGTTAGTAACTTATAAAATAAGTTGTGGATGTGAGAGACGGATAGAGCTGGCTGAGGATTAGAATCCCTTGGTGGAAGGGGGGGGGGGGGGGGGGGGGAGTGTGGTGGCGGTGTTATATTGACTGTGTTAAACCTGAAGATTCTATTAGCAGTAAATTGGTTTGTGGCTTGATGAGCGTCTTATTTGGTCTCGGCTCACTTGAAAATAGATAAGCAAAGCATTTTTAAAGCAGTGATACCGGTCAGTAAGTGCGTCGAATATCACCATCATGATACATAATAGCCTTGTTTTAGTCTTCACGCTAGATTTCGTTCTTCTTCTTCTTATTCTTGTGCTACCTGCCAGGAATTTCAAAAGCTGTTATCCGAGAGCGGTCGTGAGTTTACCACGGATTTTCCGTAGTCATTATCCATACTCGTGACAGTGTTACGAAAATCCCTTAGTAGTAAACGTACGTCGGCTGAGTATCTCCTCAGACAGTAGAGCGAATAATGGCTGGACTGTGGCGTCGACTCTCATGATCTTCATCACTACAAATCGCCTCTGGCATCCAATCTGCTTCCTACCAATAGGGTCTAGGGCACTGGTTCGCAACAGGCGTGCCGCGATACCTTGGAGTGCTGCAGAAATTTAAACATGCCAATGTTTCTATTTTATTGCTATGAAATGTGTTTTAATTACTTGACTCCCTCCGTATTATTAATTCTACTGCTATGATGTATCTAAATCAATTTAGTGATGCCAAGTGTTTTCTTGAGAAAATTATAATGTAGTGCAATGTGTCAGGAATACCACAGATTATCGAGTACGTGTTTAGGATGACATCAGTGAATAGGTTTAAAACCATTGGTATGGAGCAGAAGTCTGTAGTTGGACCTAAGAGAGGAGAAAAATAATAGGATGTACAGAACTACGCAGTGATGAACTCCATAATCGAGTCTCTTGTCCAATTATTAGGCTGATTATTGTAAGCACTTTGAAATAAAATGGATACATAGTTTGCACGACAGATGAGAAATGTATTCGAAATTTTAATCAGAAAACTTGAAGATGGAAGTATAATATTAAAATATATCTTACAGAAAAATAGTTATAAGGCTGTGGGTTGCATTGAATTGAGCCAGGACAAGGTTCACTGACGGGCTTTGTGAACACGGTATGAGCCTTCGGGTTCCATAAAAGGAAATTTATTTCTTGAACGCCTGAAAAAGCATCTGTTTCTCAAAAACGAACTACTTTGCTCAATGGAATAGCTTTGTTAAAATATAGTATGGAATTAAGACACAGCATCTACTTATGTAAAATATAAAACAAGACTTAAGTCTTAATAGATTTATGATTTATTAAGATAATATACTGTATTCTATGTTATGTTATAGATAACGTAATACTAGTTATTTAAGCAATAGACTTAACTACAATAAAATGTCAGTTAAGTAAGGAATAACTTCTATAACATTTTCTTGGATATTTTTCCTCCGTCGCAATCAGAAGGTACTCACCGTTTCTAGGGCCATGTCAACTAGATGAAACAGCTAAAAAGCCACGTCTTGTTCACGAGTAGGCCTACTGTTATTGTGTTTTGTCGTGTGTCTTTTTTTATCTGTAACTCGCTTTCCAGTTCCTATTAGACTTGCAAAAGCAGTTGGACGTAATTAAGTAAACAGAGTTTCATTACACTTCCACTGACTGCTTCCGCAGCTGCGTATCTGCAGCGGGATAGTGGGATATGGAAATACTGACAATGTTGGCATTTTCATATTCTCTCTTGTATCGAACATATCCGATGTAAAAATCTCGTCGTTTAATACGTTACAATATTTAGATATTTATTCAGTACGATATGAAGTACTAATTTTTATCGAGTACAGCTTAGAATTATTCATGGCTCTCAAAATTACCTATTTGCATTTATACGCGTACTTAACGAAGAACCAACATGACAAATATATTACTCTCTAGTATACAAACTGTTACATTGATAGTAACATGAATCTCCTACAAAAAAACAGGATCAGTTCTGAGTTTCGGGGCGAAGCTTTGGTTTTTCCACAGTCTTGCGAAACTCAGAGCAAAACCAAACAATACTTTACTTAATTGACTGATTGAATAAAGCATTAAGAAGCAAGTGAATAAATTATTTCTCTCGTATGAGATCGGGAGGACAGGCATTGAAATATACGAAGCCACAATTTAATTTATTGTTTTATGCAGAGTGTTACAAATGCTCGTCGAGCGACAAAACAGCTGAAATTACGGCCTTGTCGATTTCAAGCAGTGCGGCTACAAGAATTCGATATTACCATTCCGGTCAAGGTTATAATAACCGTGCTGCGTTGTAGTACATGTATTAGCAGCGGTTATAATATTATCCCATATAGCCCAAAATTACGAAACAGAAAATGGTCACCATACCATGGCAACGATAATAGCAACAAACGCATTTATAAATATTATTGCATTAAGGATCCAAAATCCCTCAACAACAGCAATGATCTCTAACCAACACAGCATTGCTTATTATACAGGTTAAATACTCGTGTTTTAGTTAATTACTGAACTTAATTTAACAATCATGAGTCACAGTTGTTACCTAGAAGTTTATGCTTGCTGATTTTGCGAAGAAATTCGCATATTTAGTGGAACTCAGCACTGTTTACAATAGCCTTCCGTAGCAGCTGTGATTAGCTAGTTTAATCTACACCCTCTAATCTAATTCTTTAAGATTCACTTTAGTATTATCCTCTCATACACGTTTAGATCCATTTAAAATAATTGAAATTTGTAATTGACGACTTTCAAGGAACGCATTCTTTTCGTAAAACCAAGAGTTAGTGTGTATGTCACATTATAATACTTTATAACCTTGTATTATATAGTTTACAGGAACATTTTTTGACATTTGTTTATACAAATTGGAATTTAATTTTGAACTCAGTTTTACTGAAACCTAATACTGAGGCAGTCTATTACAAGCGAACATTTCAGTGTACCTTGTATAATAGTATATTTCCGTAATATTCTTTTATTTTATTTTTTTCAGTAATGTATTGAAAATTTGTTGTAAGGTAATTAAAAGGCTTCGCTTAAAAGTACATAGTGGTTTCATGAAATCACATAACTACACACCGATAAATGGACACAAAAGACCCTCCCTCCCCGAAAAAATAAATAAATTTTGTAACTGCAATTCATGACCATAACTTTTTAATTCGCTTGTATTATTCAAGCTGCCTGCCACGTACGTAGAACTGCGTCGAAGTTCTATCAATTCCTGCTATACGCAATTAAAAAACACTAGCTGTTGCCGCTTGCAACCCGGAATAGACCGATCTGAGCTGCCATGGCGTGTGTGGATTCCGCTGAGCTTCCATATCCCATCTCTGGCAAGACTCAACTGTGAGGCTTCGCACAGAATTACTCGTCTGGAATAAAAGGCGACTTTTGGAAGGGAAAGATAGGATAAAAATGGTGTGGGGGCGAAGGGGGGGACAAAGAAGAGTACAGCCACGCAAAGAAGGGATGATTCCAGCTGCGACTTCCGGAGGACACAAATCTGTGGCGATTTTATTAGTCAGTAACCACTGGTTTATGAAATTCGAGATTCCCTTGCCGGTGAAGCTGCCGATGTCGGTCTTCTTTGTAAGAAGGCCGTGTGGACCTGCTGGGAGATGTTGCATCATGTAATCTGGCAGAACTTTGCCGACGTTTGAGATGTTCTTGCTGCCTCCGTTATCAGGGCAAAGGTGTGACAGTACTAATTTTGTTTTGTTGTTGCAGATGAAGAAGGACCGGAAGTGACGCAAGATCCAGGCCCTGATGGGGACCCAACATCAGATGGTCACCAGGTTGAGGTGGCTCTCGGTGGCGCCGTCCAGTTACAGTGTCCCGCAGCAACACCGGGGGGCTGCTGGAGTCGTGTGGGTACCGGAGGACGCCTGCAGCCAGTGGGCTCTGGTCCCGAACTGACACTGGACAGGGTGCTGTATCAGGAAGCAGGGGAGTACCGCTGCGTGGTAGGGCAAACGCCTCCCGAGCTGGACCAGTGGCGTACAGGCTTGGACGTGCAACTTATCGTTACCGGTGGGTAATCAGCAAGTAACGTGTCGGAGGTTCAGAACAGGCAAAGTTGAACTAAATAAATACCACCAGGTCGTTAGAGATACCAGACGTCATCTTATTCGCCTTCGTGAATACCTGAAATGTTACCATGATGATAATTTAACGTCAATAAGCAGAGTTATTTCTCAGAAGTCGATAACCATTTAGCACTTCCTGGAATCAGACGATTTATTCACGTGAAACGTCCTGAAACTTCTGCCAATTTACACGGCGTTACAACCCAGAAGACAGTCATCTTTTTGCTCACCGCCGTGAGAACCTAAAATCTCATTAAGTATAGACATCTGCAACTGGTCTAATTCCAGCACTGAGTGCAAAAATTTGAGCTGGAAATCCTCTTAGCAGATCGAGACGTATATAGTAATGATAGAGAAAAAGATGTCAACGACCATGAATCGTATGTGAAAGTCGAATTAGAGAGATATCGAAGATTGTTATCTACGTCTGGGGCTACAAAACAGTAAACACATCAACAAAGTCGACAGCATAAAAACAGTAATGCAGCAGGCGCCACAGACAATGCGTCTGTTTATATACAATACCTTGACGGCGAGAATGCGGCTCTGCGTTTCCATTGGTTTAGAGCCGTGAGTGTTGTTTTGGAGAGGGAGGTGGTATGACGATATTTACTGCTGTTTCCATAATGGTTGTGGCTAGCAGTTGCAAGTGAGGCTGAATGAGAGATCAAAGAGATGTTTGTGTATCTAGTAGCGTGGAGGGGACCAGAAATGGTGTCGTTTTCGGGCGAATTAATTCTAGGGATCGTGTATCCGCGAATACAAATACGAGACAAAGCAACAATGATTTGTTTGAAGACGTAAGGGATCTTAAGCCGTGGCACATTTAGGAATGTCTGTTGTACTAAAAGTTCTTACTAGCTTGCGGTCTCGAGGTCTTCTCCTGCCTGTGCCAGAATTCCTCTGACTTGCATTGCCACTTAAACGGTATCGCGTAAACAGGCTTCAGGTATAAGTGATCTTGCCTTTATTATCAACTGTGATCTGTAGATGGATGTAACTGCAGCAGAATAACCTCAGAATGAAGTCTGGTATCAAGTTTCACAAGAATCACATCCCAACAGAGAATCTGCTGGAAGAATAATATTCTTCCAGGTTAATCTGCTATTGTCGGAGGTGTCAGATGCTAGCGTACAAGTCCTAAAGTCTCTCGAACATTGTGCTTTTGATGTATTCTACATTTTTTGCACATCAGTCGGAACAAAAAGAAAATCCTAAATATTAGTGCATAAACCTAGTTAAAATAAAGTAATCCACTTACTTCTTTTGTAATGTTGCACCAATTATTTATCCTCTTGAAACCCGTTTTCTAAGGAATGGTGCCGGTTAAATTAGGATCCAGTATAAATTTATCCCGCTGTGTAATAACGCCCTCTAAGCTGAATGAAGAGTAATTTGGTTGCCATTTCGTGATTACATCACTCACCCCACCACCAAACCACCGACGCAAGCCCCTTCTAACCCCCCCCCCCCCTCTCTCTCTCT